TCATTAAAGTCAATGATGTGTACCATTAGTCTAATTAGTAATATATGGTAAAGGGCGTTTGTACTCTTCATTCATTAATTCATGTATTTCTTCACAAACGCACTGAATCTTGATTCACACACTCCAAGAGTGAGAATTGGTCTAGTTTGTGGATTTTACAGTCACAATTTAGGTCTCAAGTGAAGGTCGAAGTAGTTCCTCATCATTAAAGAAGCTGTTTCTGCGGAACAACACGTTTTGTTTTAATTAGGCCTACATATAGGCCTAATGCCCAGGCGCGTGCAGTATCCTTGCGCCTTCCAGGTACGACGTGCGTTAGCTTTATTGTGATTGGCACTAGTTTCTTTGAGGTTCTTTACTGTCGAGTTGTTTAACTCATAGACTCTGTAGACAAAACATTGAAATTAAATTAAAGTTACTAGCTGGTCGGCACAATACGCTAAGTTACGGAATTCATCTAGTTTATGTGAGAAACCCCCAACGTGCCATGTTCATTTTCAGCCTCAGATACAGGTGACTCATGTCTTCAGCAGACAACCCCAAGGTAGGCTAGTTAGCAGACCTATCTCCTTTCGAGCAGTGGGCTCTCTCTGTGCTACTAGTTACTGTATCCACCTGTCACTCTGTGTAAAAACAGTTCCTGCTTATTCTGCCTGGCTAGCATGAAAAGCAGCTGGACTCTGGGTCTGTTGCAGACCACAGAGGAGGAGGAGGTTCAGAGGAGCTCTGGACCCTTCCAGCTCCACTACACCATGTTTATCAAGTTTTATGAATGTTGTTTTGTTTTCCCGTTTTATTATATTTTGGCCTGGTGAACAGCCTCTTGCTGTACATATCTGCTAGTCTCATACACAACAAACACAGCATGTCTTGTCTCATTAGAGCCCAACCTATATCAGAGACTGTGTGTGTGTGTGTGTGTGTGTGTGTATAAAAACTGTATTTTCCCAGAAAATAATGCCGAGAAAAAGCTTGTGGTAATTTATTTGTGTCACTGCTAAATTTATCCAGCAGAGTGCGCTGCGATGTGTAACACTGTGCCAAGCAGCACAGAGTGAAAGAGAAGAAGTAGCTCTCAGCAATGTCAACTAGAATGGGTTGGCAATGTATATGTTAAAGTATTTAACATGTTTATTATATTCTATGAGGGTATTTTCCTATCTTTATTCAAGAGTGTGTAGCAAAACTACTAACAAATGTGAGTGAAAAGTCAATTGTCAACTGTCAATCCGTGTGTCCATATTTAGATTTGTAAATGTGGAAAAGAATCTGTAACTATGTACAGGAATTTGCAAATGTGTGTTCAGAATCTGTGTGTGTAATCCGATTTGCAAATGTATTGAGATTTGTAAATGTGTAGACAAATCTGTAAATGTGTGTATAGATCTGAAAATGTGTACACAAATCTGTACATGTGTAGACAAATCTGAAAATTACACAACTCTCCACTCACATTTGTAAATAGCTTTTTGCTGCACACTCTCAAATAAAGGCAGGAAAATACCCACATAACATTCTTTAATAAAGTTATTTAGCAGCCTTCTGAGTGCCTTTGTATAGTCATATCATTGCAGAATTGTTGGACAGACCACACACAAAAGATCCACTCTCATTCCCTCTAAAATCGGTATCTCACTCAAAACTCCCACATTGATCGGGTTCTACTGATCATGCAAAACTATTGCAACATGCAAAACATTTCAGAGCTCTATCCAATGCAAGCTATGAAGCAGGAAAATCCATTAGATTTTAATAAAGCACAGCAAAGTACTGTGTCATTGTTGAGGAAGAGCTACAGTTTGTTGGTGTTCATGCCGACAAAAGCCGGGTGTGAAACTAAAACAAACCCTGTCGAACACATCAAAGACGAGCACAAAATTCAACATCCATACTTAATCTGATATGCAAACAGAACAAATAAATGAAGAGGGTGTGTCTTAATATAACTGTTGAGAGATCCTGTACACACACACAAATATGGCAACTGATGATTAGACGTTAGATGGTGAGAGAAAGCAGAGAAAGAGACGTGTGTGAGTGTGTATGTGCGTGCATGTGCGTGTGAGTGCGTGTGTAACGGAGAGAGAAAAAAAAAAAAAAGAAGAGAATCAAGAGACAGGCCACTGACCACAGATGATTCATTACTAGACGTGAGCTGTTATATGGAAAACAACACAGCTAGTAAAAGACGGACAGAGACAAAATCAGTCCACGTCCACAGGTCCCCTGCTGTTTGGACCAATGCATGAAATATATACAAATTTTTAAGATCAGATTGACTCTATTCATGCTGTCCCCCAGATTCATTAAAACATTATTCAAAAAGTAATGTAGGTCAAAATACGCCAGGAAGCATTTTGGATCCTAAAATCTACTTAAATAAACCTTAAGATAAATTATAGTCATAGCATCCAAGAGGAATTAAGTGCGTATACATTCATACTTGTTGATTTGGATGTTTGGTGTAGGTGTGTCGCAGCTTCTTAATGAAACCATGGAGACTCCTGCCTATCAGGTTTTGGAGTAGATAACACTGTAGATGCACCCTGTGTAAAGACAGGTCTGCAGCCCTGGAGTAAACCTGTTACTACAGTTACAATTGTCAGGGGGAATTAGTCTTAATAACAACAACAAAGAAGGACAGAGCAATGGAGGACACGTGACATAAAGAGACACCATGAACAAGTGAGACACCAAAAGGGACAGAGAGAAAAACAGAGCCAGAGAAGAAGAATAAATGAGAAAGAAATGGAGCGAGAGTAGTTGTCTGTCCCAGATGGTTTTAGTTCCCATTACAAATCCGTCCAGAGAGTTTAAAGCTCAATCTGCACTATCTTCTCCCCCTTGTTCCCTGAAGGCTTAATTTAAGAAAATGATCACCAACTTCACTCTACACTTGGCTGTACAGCTGTTAAAACGGGAGGTCTCCTCTCAGCCTATAATAATAATAGCAGGTGCAACAGTCTGCGCACACCATTGGTGTAACAGCACAACATATGCACTTGTCATTTAAAGACATTCATTCATTCATTCATTCATTCATTCATTCATTCATATAAAGATTAATAAATGATTCTGCAGATCCACGAGTAAAGTAGCATGACTAAGAGTCATGGGTGTCCATGCTGGTAGCTCTGTGAGGTTGTATTTAGGCACAGTACTGCTAACATCAGTATGCTAACATGCTCGGACAATACTAACATGCTGTTTAGCAGGTACAAGGGTTGCCATCTTTGTTTAGCATGTTAGCATGCTACATTGCTAATTTTTGATGGACCGACTAAACCGTCACTGATGACATTGCCATACCTAGAGACTGACAGCAGGATATCTATTAACACCACGCACGCATTGTAAGACACATGCACACGCACACACACAAATTTAAAATCAATACTTCCTTGGAGCGAAAGCTTTTTCCTGAGAGGAAATTACAGGATGATGTAGGGAAATCAAGGACAACAGGGGAAGAAAAGTGGAAAGGTACACAAGTGAACGGATGGAGACACTCACAAAAAAATCCCATTTTCAAGAAAAACTTTTCCAGCAAAAGACCCAAATTAAGTTATTGCGGGGACACAGATAATTATAGACTCTCAATGTCCCCACTTAGTTGTAAACTGTTTATCTTTACAAGGCTACCTATGAATCAAGTTAAACACATACACATCTGTCCCCGCTGTGAACTGTCATGCTGAGAACCATGCGTCACGCCCTTGCTTGCCTACAACCTACGATGGCTGTTTTAAATAAATGTCTACTCTGTATATAGCCCTAGACACAGCCACAACAACACAGGGCTTCACAACCAGCCACACTGTAGCGCACAGGGAAGTGAAATACTAAATTGAACTGACAACCCTCAAAACACAAAAACCTCACTGAGAACAAGCAGTGAAGAATGGTGCCAGAGAGCAAGAATGAATGTGACATCAGATTAAGCTGGGTCTACTCATTTATCTTAATAAGGACATTCTAGTTAGCTAATTTATGCTTCTGTTTAAGCCAGGAGGACTGATACATGATTTTGCAAGGTCAGTACTGATACTGAAAATGTCCTTGTTAGCTCCAATTATTCATACTCATGTATCAGATGCGTAGGCTCGATTGGGCCAGCAATTCAAGAGGTTGTGTAGTTATGGTTGAAAGATTCAAAACGTAACTGCTGCTGTCCCCGTAATTGTGGTGGAAAGGGTACTTCCCAAATAAATTCAAAACAACACTACAACGAGCTAGGATGGTTTTTTTTTTTTTTTAGTTTTTTTTTTAAGTGTCACACTGACTGTGCCAAAGCCCGTTTTGTTTAATGCTGCATCAGAAGCAAAAAAACAGATACTTCGGCAAATGTCTACAGTAAGCGACCATTGGCAAATACCTGACAGAGTACACAGTATCAGTAAAGCCTTCATACTTGATATCTGGCTGTGTGTCTGTGTGTGTGTGTGTGTGGTCTGTGTGTGATTTGTGGTGGGGTCGTGTTGTCGTGTGCTGTGTGTTGTGTTGTGGTGTGTGTTGTGGTGTGTGTGTGTGTGATAGTATTAGACATAGATTGAGCTGAGACCTGTAGGTCAGAAAAGACCAGAGATGAATAAGTTGATGTGCTTCGCTGATCCACGGGCAACAGCCTTAAACAGCGAGTAGGAGAAGGGACAACAAATGAAAAGACGAAAGAAGAGAACTCTAGAAGGAAAGACGATCCAGTAACAGGATGAAGACATACAGCCAGACTAGAGTCGACACGTGTGCTCGTAATTCTATTTACGCGTCTTTAATTATGCGTGAAAGTCAACAGATGAAGCAAGGAGACGCAGATAGAGAGAAGCGGGCTGACGAGCAGTTCAGAAAGATACAAAAAGAGACAGGAGGGAGACAAAAGGCGACAAGCAGTTAACAAACAATAGGTGTGGTTTGTTACTGTGTGGGAAGCCTTTTCTTCATTGCTGTCCAAGTCCAAACACATGCCCACTGCACGCCACAATACCAACTCTGACCGGCGAACATCCAACCCCTTCTCCTTATTCCCTGGATCTCACCCCCACTCTCGTTGCTCTCCTGCCACTCTTCTTCCTTTCCCTCCCTCTGTCCCAGCCAAACCTGTCAGCTCTCAGTCATTTGCTGCTGTGGTGCCTGAAACATGATTGCGGAAGACAATTACGGAAATAAATAAATAAAGAAGAAGGGGTGAATGCTATGATTCAGAGTCGGGCTTCCCGTGTGTCATGCGGGGATGAAGGCAAAACCCAGGAGTCTTCCAGTAGTACTATACGTGGTGTGTGTGCTGTGTGTGTGTGTGTGCTGTGTGACGAGAGAGAGACCTGTTCTGCACAGGTTGTCAAAACTATTAAAATAAACAAAATCACCTAGAACACTAAAACACACCCACACATTGTTCATTGCTGTGTGTGTGGGAGTCAGGAGTACAATACTGTGCATGATGATGATGAGGGATGATGCAGGGTGGTATAGCTGTGAGTGATTACAGCTGCGATACACCGCTGATATAGATCAATTTTGATGAATATGGCCAGCCGCAAAAGATACGATAATACATGAGATGATGATAATCTGACCGCTAAAGATAATGATCATTGCCAGTGCTGTTCTTCTCTCTGTCACTTCTTCTGTATACTGCTATTTAATGCTATAAGTAACAGAGGGAAACTCAAACAGCGAAGGAGAGGAAGAGGCGCGTTAAGGTCACACACACTCACTTAATCATTCGACATGCATCAGCAAAGATGCGATGCTTTTATTTTGTCCCTATAAATAGAAGAGCTGCTACTGTGGCATCACTGAAATGCTCCTTCCCTTCCCCACACACACACACAGACACACACCTATGAGCATGATACACAGACACCAACTACCATATTTACACACAGCTACAATTAATGTAATCATTTTGTGTAGATTTGCAGAGGAGAAAACGGCACATAGATAATGATGTACCATGCAAAATCAAGCTCCTGTAACGGTCATATTTACATAAAGATAAAGTGTCAGTTGTATATATAAGCCTCACCCACTCAAAATGTGTGTGTGCGTGCGCGTGCGTGTGCGTGTGTGTGTCCACTTTCTACATCTCTCTGTTTGCAGAGCTGTCGTGAGGAAACACACCTGTCCTGCATGAAAAAGCATGAATAGGCAGAACCTTATCCTCTGTGCGCGCACACACACACACAGACACACACACACAGACACACGCACACACAAACACCCTTTATTCCCCTGCTGATGCAGACATGACACACCTCTCAGCACACACATGACATAGTCTGAGGAATCACACAGGAAAATACAATCCTGATTGGCCTGTTAACTAAGCTACACACACACACAGTAACTGCCTCACAGGTACAAAGATAGATAGAGGGGGCTGGGAAAAGCCCTCTGCTGTTGTGAGCCCCTGCACACACCCCTACGCAAACAGACACACACCCATGCAAGCGTGCACGCACACACACACACACACACACCACCCTATTTAACAAGTAAACACCTGGTGGCTGGCTGACGCTCCTCAGATCCGGATACACCAGCAGGAAAGTACACACACATTTACACAGAGGAGAATGTGTTTAATTTCCATCTCTATCTATGGGAATAACGTATAAGTGGCAGTAAGCAGATATTTATGTCAGGTCAGATCAGTAAGTACTATAAAGGTTGAAAATGTGAAAGGAAACCTTCCCAAAACTGTCAGCTGTGAAGCCAAATCTGTCTTAAAGTGAAAGTGACAACACTGCAAGAGGTTTTGAGTCAGTTAAGCACTAAATTGCCAGTCAGTCAGGTTTGAGGCTGTAGTGGAGACTGTAGGTGCACTGGCAAAGTGAACTGCAAGTATAATGGTGATATAATGTTTTATATATAAATGTAGGCGCAGTAGCAGTGGTTAGGATGAAAATCTTTCACCATTTATTCAAGTAGTTATATATTACCTCAATATAACTGTGTGAATGTACTGTGAGTAGGTATTTATATACATTTGATATATTAATAGGCAACTTGAGCCAGTCAATGGTGACACAGATCACCTGACCCACCAAACTGCATCACTCACTATCTCAATGATGTTGTTCACCATATAAAAGCAGAACTGAAGGTCGTATTAAACTTTCACTTTGCGTCTTAACATGTGTGCAAACTCAAACGGCTCCTTTAATCACGTTTTCCTCTTTCGAGAGACAATAGGTTTTTGCCACAAATGTGCTGTGAAGGCCGAGTCTGAATGTATTTTTTCCTCTGGGCCTCCGTCCCCAGAACACTAACAAAGCATTATTAATGACTCTGGTCAAACATAATGCGTTAGCTTGTACGCAGCAGATTTTCCATGGCTTAAAGTGACATTGCTGTCCTCACGATGCCTCCACAATGACTCCCAAGACAAACATTCCCGTTTGACACAAGCTGCCACGACTGCTATTTGACTAGATAACAAAGTTTGCCGATCAAGTATTTTCACATGCCTGTCACATTATTACCTTAACTAAACAAGGATCAGGAACTACATTTGTTTTCCACCTAATGCACCATGTGTTCTGTTCACTGAAGCAGTTCTAGACCTGGTTAATCATTTAGTTAATAAAAGTAATTACAAATGACCATCACAAGTTCTCAAAATAATGTCTTTAACCTGCATGCTCTGTCAATAAACCCAAAGATACACACATTCGAGAAGCTGTAACCACTGAATAAAAGACTGACACTCACACACATCGATTCATTTGACCTATCAGCTAATTGACTATTCACTTCAGCCCAAGTCAGTTCTATTGTCTGTTGTACTAGTTCAGTGCGTGCTTTCGTTCACTTCCCCGTGTGTTAAATTAATGCTAAACCAACTCCAAAGCAGTCAACTATGCGGACACATTATACGCAGCACTACCTCATGTGCTTTAGGGTAGAGGATGAAAAAATAGTTTCACTGGCAAAAGGAATATAGTGTCCCCAGTGAATTAAAACTGCCTCCTGAGGCTGACTCCTGCTCTCACTTCTCTTCAGTAGAGGGGATTTCTTACAGTTACAGGCATAAATTCACAACCTCACCACAATGCACATGTATAATTAGAGGAGTGTGTCACTAAACAGCTATCTACTGCAGGCTTTACAGCTGCAATGTTATCGTCATACTGGGGCGATTTTTTGTTTATGTGCTTGCAGAGGGACAACATACAGGATGCTGTGTCATCCAAATGCATTTGCTTTAAATGTAACAGGCTGTAAGTGGGTTGCAGAAGCCCCTGCAACTACCATGCAGCAAAGCGCAGTGGTTAAAGCATGTCAGCAGTTTAAATCATATGGGAATTTAGATTCACTGCCAACTGTATTATACAGTAAAACAGGCTCTCCTTTCTCCTCGCTTTCCCTTTGTGTTGCAAATGACTGCTCACTACTTTCTATTATTCCTGTAAAGCTTTGTTATGTGTCAAGTAAGCTACTTTATAGAAAGCGATGCACTCTTTGTTGTAGGTCCAGTCTTTTATCTGGAATTAGTTTGAATTAAGTTTAAATTAAATTGAACATATTCTAGGAGGGGGGCTGGTTAAACAGTCTTACCTTAATTTTGTGGACGGACTTCCCCTCCTCCAGACCCTGGCTCCACACTGTGATGCCCCCTTTGCTGTAGTTCATACTCCAGCCCTCCTCGCACAGACACTCCGCCTTGAAGCTGGCAAATGCCCGGTCGTCCGGGATGGTCACAGTCTGTCCAGACATGGTTACCGGTGTAGGGGAAGGGGGGGGGGAGAAGGAGAGGAGAGGAGAGGAGAGGAGAGGGGGTATAAGAGACTCCTGGTGGGCCCGCAGGAGGCACGATGAGCCGGTGAACAAATGAAGGGAGAGCCGAGAGCCAGCCACTCTTGTCCTCCTCCTGTGCTGTGGGGATAGAACTTGTCTAATTCAATTTCCTCCTCGCAAGAAGCTTTTGTAGGGCTGCGCCGCGTCTTGTGATGATCCGTGTGCGTGTGGATGTGTGCGCGTACAGGGAGGTTACAACAGCCGCAATCCAGCCGCGCACAAACTAATCTGAGGTGTTTGATCAGCCACAGCCTCGCACAGGTGAGAGCACGCAAAATATATATGTATGTAAGGCAAAGAAGTGTCCAAAAATGAGATGGACGAATCAAAATGTGCCTCGCAGCCGATCGCCGTGGTTGGATAAGTTTTAGCCCGGGTCCTCCTCAGAAACAGCCGCTCATCAGACAAACCATATGTTTCTGTGTTCCTGCTTGTCACTCTGCCTTTTCTCTCTCTCTCTCTCTCTCTCTCTCTCTCTCTCTTCCTCTCTCTTCCTCTATGTCTACCTCTGTGTCTGTCTTCACCTCAGCCTGTATCTCTCGCTCTTTCTCTTTCAGTCTCTCAATCCTCAGGTCCTCTTCCGTGGGCTTTAAATGAATTCGCAGCAGCTCTCCATCGCTGCGTCGCTGCTGTGGCAGGTGGTGGAGGGGATGCGGTCGGTGAGAAATAAGAGGAAGAGGAGGAGGAGGAGGTGGATGGGAGGGGGAATCAGGCTGAGCAGGCAGGCGACGCAGCGGCTGCTACAGTGGAAACGCCTCCCTGTGCTGCCTTTACGGGCTCCTCGTACGGCTCCCAGCTCTGCCCTAAGGACGTTTTGTCCCTTCAACTTTTCCCCCTTCATCTTGCTTGAGCTGTAAAGTTATAGCCGAATGAAAACTTGAATGATAAATAGTGCTATGTATGCCTGTTGTAATTACTTAATGCTGCAAGTGCTTCACGTTGTTGTTGATTGGTGCTTTATGAAACACTTTTAAAGGGGCTCACTGGAGTTTTTAACCACTAGCAGAGCACATTTCTTGCAAACTGAGAACAGATAACACTTTAGCCAATTAACCCTAATCAGAAACAGGTGGTAACATTAGCGTTATTGACATGTTTGCTTTGGTATACATCGAGTACAGCTTTAATTTATGTTATTGGTCACATTGAATTGATAGAATTTGAGTAGGTAACATTTTGGGAACATAATATGTTGATATTTTGTTAATGGGAACACAATAATTTTGGTTGCACCAACAGTAATGTAATAGTGGTGTATGAAATCTATCCATTGAACTGTAGATAAAAACAACTGAAGGCGTAGCACAAACTTTGGAAGCATTTCAGATCTGTTTAGAGATTTCAGCAACTGGCTCCCATTTGGTACATTTATTTATGTCAAACATGGTCTGCCAGTTTACAGGTAGCTGTGGAAGGAGAAGAGACCTACATTGTGAGTGTAAAACTTTAAACTCTATTTTCAAGCACTCCTTTATGAAGGATTCATCAGTAAGACGCTGCATGCGGTGGAAGATTAAAAACATGCAGGTGACTCCTGTATGGTCACTCTGTTTGTGGATCGTTTTCATATTCCTGACAGTATTTGAACGCAATCCGCGCTATCACACCACACACGGGCACCTTTTTGTAAACTAGTTAGTTCACGGAGCATCGGGAGCGCGCATGGCTCCTGTAGGCTGACGTGTAAAGTATTTTTTGTTATGCTTCCTCATGCACTGTTCATTGCTCAAGTTGTCATTTACAAGAGGTATAAAGTCGCTGCTACTGAGGACAATACACGTCTTATAAATGTCCTATAATGCAATATTTTGTCACCATGTGTCTGTTAGATTCTGCTTCCCTGTCTCTGCCTCATGTCTCCATCTATTTTCACTCAGCCTGTCCTGTTTCATCACTCTCCCTCCTTTCATCTTGGAGTGTGTAAGCCCATTATCGGCCTCCTTCACTCAGTTTGATCTGTGGGTGTTCTCACGACATCCTGAGGCCCAAATAATCGGAGGTGCACCTTTGGTTTTGTAGATATGAAACACAAATAGGCTGTACACCTTTTTTTCTGTGCTGGTTGACGGGTACTTTAGTGCAGCCAACGTGCTTAGCCTACCACTCTGATCCACAGTCACTTACTGTCTAATCTACAGTGGATGCATGTACACCCATCACAGAATAACTTTAGCTGTGATCCCTTCCTGCAAACGTGGACTTTACTCACTTGCTTTGCACAGGAGCAATGCAGCTTTTTGGGTATTAATAACTAAATTTAAAAAAAAGTTTACTGACCTCTGACCTCCTGAAACAGTTATTCCCAAACTGGGGGGCATCGGGGAAAACTGTTAAGTGAAACTAGAGTTGAGCAGCATTTTGACGTGATAAACTCAAGTGTAATAAGATAATGAACTGCTGCATTACATTGCAATGACTGCTAGAACAGAGCCATAAGTATTAGTCATTAGCTCCACCTGTGATTCCCCTGCTGTGAAAAAAGGACAAGAACACAAATATCAGCTATTACATAATCTCATTGTTGTTGAGATCAATAGTGAGGTTTTAAAAATGTTTTAGAAACAGATATGAGCCAATACATATCGGCAGGTTAGTGTTTTCTGGGGAGAATTAACGTACTGTCAGGTGTCTACAATAGCGAATCCATTGGGGTGCAACAAGTGGCTGACCTGCTAGAGCTGGCGCCTTGTGTGCCAAGGCTGAGCATGTGGCCCTTCGCTGCGTGTCATCCCCTAACCATCAATTAAAGCACAAGAAAACCCCAACAAACAAACCCTGACTGACAGCCCTGCAGCATTTAGATGAGATGGCTGGTAAAGGTGCCAGTGGATTTAAGTTGGCAGAACGTGATGTCCATGATTCATGTGTGGTGAGACACTGTAAGCCTACTGCCAGCTGCCAGCATACAACATACCTAATACATTGCAGCTAGTGCTCTGTGGGAGGCCTACTGCTGGGTGCAGTTTGAGCTTTAGCTTTGATTGAATTTCAGTGACAAGAAAATGGCATTATCAGCAACACTGTGTTACTTATTTTTTCCTGGAATACACTGTATCTGTAGTGGTAACCTCATATGCAAGTAGTAGGCCAATCAGATTTCAGAACAATCCGCCCCCCAGCTGTTCCTCCTATAAATAAAAAGGGTCTTTATTTCTTTAACTGATGTACCATTGCTTTAAATATGAACAATTCCTGTCTGCATAATTGGCTGCTGCTGCATCAAATTTTCTCAGAAAAATCTACACAAACCTCTCATGTGAAGCAAGACGCTCTCAAAATGCAGTTTTGTTACAATTTTCAAGACAAGCTGATATATTTTTATCAGAAATATCAGGCTAGAGTTCTTGTGCAGGAAGTAATAAATTCATGCAACCTGTTTCCTCTCAACTTTGAGCAACTGCAATGGCAACAGCCCTGCTTTAGCATGTGTGTGATAGTCCACTTTTGTTGTTCCTGTTTAAACCATTTCAAGTCCATCAGGTTTTTCACAGTCATTAATGTTGTTATCCTCTGTCACTCTTTTGCCATCACAATAAAGCAGATAGACATTATCACTGTAAGTGTGTTTACACTGGGGAGAATGGCCCACGGTGCATCAATAATATCAATATCATCAATAATACGCTGTCTAAGTGTGACACTTGTGCATGCATGCTAATATTTTATTCCTTCTCAACATAAAACATGTACAAATGAAAGAGGAGGATGTTGAGAAACACAGGCCTATTTGAATCATTTAAATGAGATAAGAGGACTGACACACTAGAGGAAAGAATGAATGGTTTATATTGTAATTAAAGGGCAGTGTTCTTTTAAAAGCTGTGTTTCTCAGTGGTTTAGAGTCGACTCTCTATCTATGGTAATTCGCCTGATTAAATGAGGATAATTGATTGATTTATCCAGCAATTCTCAATATTATGTCCGAAACATTTCCCCTCCTGTGCACTGTGCAGCCAACACCACATCATTTCACTGTGCTTTGATGCCACCTGGCGGCCATGATGAACCACCACACGTACACTGACAATACAACCGCTTGTCATCATATTTATGTGTATACGAAACCACCAGACAACCGAAGCAGCTCCGTCCTGTCCGAAAACAGTAAATAATGGACAGTCATCGTGTAATAAAGCGGTTGTTTTAGGCAAGAAACGGCGAAAGTAACCGTTAGCGCTTGGCAACAACACGCATGCGCACAAGAGGGTCAACCGTAAATTAACTGTTTTTCTGTCTCGAGGCTCTTTCGATATCTCTTTGCCGACATTGAAACATAACAATAAAACCCACTCACTACAGAGTACCACCCTCACCTACGCAGAGTACCCACTCACTACACAGTACCCACTCACTACAGAGTACCCACTCACTACACAGTACCCACTGCAGTTAACTGGAATAAAGCGAACACGGAAGTATGTACGAGATAGCCCTCTCATCTCGCCATAGCAACTGACACAGACGTTTCTAGCAAAACAACATTTCCCGAGATGCACCGCACGTTCTGGTGACATCCACGCTGGGATGAGGTGAAACGGTTGTTTTCGTCTTGCTGTTATTAGCTGCCTGTGAATTAAGGTATAGCGGCTGTTATATCGGGAATACCGCAGTGTCCCCGGCCTGTAGGGTACCCCCTTCCCTCTGGAGTTACTGCCAGACTGACGGTGTCACCCCCCGCTTCGTTTTCGGTGAGTTTATCGCCATGTTATCATCCGTTCCCACCAGGCTAATTGCGCGAAGGTCGCGCAGCCTGTCGCCGTGCAGCCGCGTCCTCCAGACCAGCGCCACCGGGGCCGTGTGCCAGGGCGTCCGGGACACACCGCCGGAGACCAACCGCAACCCCATCGTGTCCACCTCCCGGGTCTCCAGAAAGGGTATTTTAGCTGAGGACACCAGTGGGACCAGTGTGAACCCGTCGGTGCAGTACCACCACCTCGCCCCTAGATGGCTGTCCAACCTGGAGAACCGCCGCAGCTCTTGGGCAGCTCTGGCCAGCAGGGGGCGCAACAGTAACCAGTACTGGGAGGAGAGCCGAGGAGGAGGAGGAGGAGGAGGAGGAGAGGGCCGGGGGACGGGTGGAGGAGCCAGCCGGGCAGGAGTGGCCTCTGCCGGTGTGCTGTCTGCTGCAGCCGTGGCATTCTGCCTGAAGAAAGATACTGATAACAAAGGTAAACTCAGTCAGCTGTCGGTTGAGGCACAAAAGACATTCAAGATCACAGAGAAACTGAGTTAAGCTTTAAAAAGAAACAGTGTTTGTAAAGTTGTCTGTCTCTGTTTCTGCTATAATAAGGTGATGCTCTTCTGGAGGCAGCAAGGACCAACAACTCTCAAGATGTGGCCAGGTACCAAACACACAGTCTTTATTATGTTATCTTTATTTTTATGTCCGCAGTACGTAATGTTTGTCCACTTTTATACTAAATATGTATTCTTATAGTACATCTTTCACAGGCCTGTATATATATATATAGAAGCACAGCACAGAGAAGGCTCTGTCCACTGGCAGCCGCATGATTCAGAGAGCTTGTAGTAAGACTGTGTAGTTGGTTGGTGTTTTACATGTAAACGTTTAATAATAGAGTTATTACACCAGAGAATAGCAGATATTATCTTTATTTGTCATGATGACAGTGGAACCTGCAGTTTGGGATTTATTAGATAAAACTGCACCACTGGACACCTGCATTAGTCCTGATGATGATGCTGGTTGATGATGAAGTGGAGCTTTAGCGATAGTACTAATGCAGTTCCTGCTTTAGAGGAAAGGAAGAACTACCTGGGTGGATTATTTTTAAATAAAGATGTCAGCTAAAGTTTATAAAGATATATCATTTCTCTTTTTTTAAAGTTAAAATCAGTAGAGAACTAGTGTGTGATATTGATAACAAACATATATATATATATATATATATGTATATGTATGTGTATATATAACATATATATATATATATATATATATGTATGTGTATGTGTATATATATATATATATTATGTATAGTCCCTAGGTATAATAGTATACTACGCTATATGATAGCTATATAGTACCACAATGGTTGTTTAGGATTTTGGTAATTTAATAATTTTTAAATTATACCAATTTACTTTGTACTATCGTACGATAACTAATGTTTTGTGTCAGAGAATTATATCCCCACGTAATACTTGTATACCTAAATCAAGATATAGTGTGATACTTTTAGGCTTTGTCAATTTAAGCCTGGACCCCTATATTTCAATCGCGCATTTACTTGAGTAAGAGGAATCATAAGTGGTCTCGCATCCCGGCTAAAGCTAAATCCATAATAATGTGAGCTGTCAACCTGTATGGGACTGCTGGTCAGTAGAAAGTAGAGATTTAGTTAGATAAGATAGATAGGATACGGGACAGACGGGAGACCGACAGACAAGACAGAGCAGACAGACAGATAGATAAATATAGATAGGATAATAGATAGATGATAGATAGATAACTTATTAATCCCCGAAGGGAAATTGGGTTGTCATAGCAGCCAGGTACATTAAAATATACAATAAAATACACAATAAATAAAACTTAGATAGAAGATAAAAGTTAGGAGGTAAGGTGCAAAGAGTCGTAGTTGCAAGAATGGTCAATATGTGATATGAGTGGAGTGTTATTGTTAATAACAGTATATAATATAATAATATAATATT